GTCTGGTGGTCTATAGCAGATGCCCACAACAACGTCACTCTTGTTGCTCTCACCTCTAATTTAATCCAAAGAAGCTCAGCAGGTTTATCTCCAAGTTCACACTGGAACCCTGAGCAAGCATAGTGCTCTCTTTACAGCCAAAACACAAGAATTAGAAATCTCATGAAAGCCAGTATATAGTTTTCTCCCTACTATCTTTAGTGGCCAATAGCTTAGTTAATTCTAGCAGTTTCATCACAACTATAGTTGAGTTCTTCCCCCTGAGAAATGTTCATATTACTCGGCAAATAAAAATTGCTTGAATTTAGAATAAACTGTCTCCTTCTATAGAAATGGAACTTTGTCTTGAGGGAACAATGAATTAGTCTTCTGAATGTCATCCCCTATTGCTCACTGAAGTTAGAGTGCTGAAGTAGCTTTGTGCTAAGATCTGTACGCTGGACCCTCCTGATCAGCGAAGGTTGGTAAGAAAAGGGCTGGGTTCCTTCTTGATTGAGACTGCCAACATTTCCCTAAGGAAGGGCAGAGTGCAAATGGGTCTTACAGCTACTGTGAAGCCAGTGTTCAAGAAGCCAATTTTGATGCTGACAATCTATATAGTCAGCATTTTGGAGTAAGATCAGGGTAGGTTTACCCTAAAAAACAATAGCTTTTTGGGGATTTTACTACCTAGGTTTACCCTAAAAAACAATAGCTTTTTTGGGACTTTACTACCTAAGAGGCAGCCCCTTGATATGAACAGGGACAGGAGTAGCTAACAAGAGTCTGATTGGTACTCAAGTTTTGGAATTTGTTTCCCATACTTCTGGTTGAACAAGGTTTAGCTAAGATTTGTAACCTTCCTGACATGCTGCAAAGCCCAAATCTTTCTGCTCACACTTTCAACAAAAGGGGTGGCTGAGGGTTGAAAGGGTCTGATGAAGATGTATATATGCCATAAAAATATACATTTATAAATAGGCATCAGGGGCAACAATGGAGCACCCACGGGAACATCACCTGAAGCAGTGTTTAGTTAGCCTATTCTAAGTAATGTGTAGTCAGAAGTTTTCTATCATGTAATCAAAAGTCATTCAGCAATCAGAGAATAAACAGTCTAAGCTGTCTTTTTGTTCCTCCATCATTAGACAGAAAAATAAGAATTTCATTATTATAAAAACGTGACAACCACTAATGGGACATACAACTTGCCTTAGGTACTTCATACAACATAAAGAACTGAAAATTATTTTAGTGGAAATGTGAAACTTAAATGTAGTTATGATATATTTAGTTAACTAAAACTTCTTAAATCTCTTTCAAACAGGCTGAAAGGAAAAGAAGGGAAATTTTTACTTTTAAAAGGACATATATTAAAAGTAAGCTATTCAAATAAATTAGAGCAACTTCTTCCATTTTATGTACTCATCATAAAATAGAAAGCAACTTTTTCATCTTTCAAGTTACAATGATGTTAAAGAATGGACCCCTTGAAAAAAATCCCTTATGCTCTATACACACACACACACACAAACAATAATTCCAAATCCTATTCCTCCCTTTGCAAACTGGACAAGTTGTAAAGGCCTAGAGGTCTGGACAACATTTATTTAACAGTAACTTGCGGGGGAGGACCATAGTTGCTTTTCAGCACATGACCTTTCTTATCATAAATAGGCCATAGCTGAGATATTGGAACTCAATATCAGAGGGATTTCACTTTTTACTCGAATATTGCACACAGTCTTTCATAACAAAAAATGGTATTAAAGTAAACATGGCACCTAGATAATATGACATTTGTCATTCTAAAGAGACAACTCTTTGTGGGTTACATAAAAAGGAAAAAAAAAATCAAATACTGAGACACGTAGTAGGTGGGGATAATGCTAACCTGCACTAGGGATGTGAATGAGTAACCAATTAACCAGCTACCTGGTAAGCACCATCCTTACCAGTTAACTGGCTCCTGTGACTGGCAGCCATGTGGGGCCAATGGCCAGCAGCTGGCAGCCCCATGAGCTGCGGGGTGCTATTATGGCCAGGCCAGGCCCGGCCCAGCCTGCCACAGGCGGAAGGGCCACTGCAGCCCAGCCAGGCTGGAACAGCCCTCTACCCACGGAATCCCACTTAATTGATTAACCAGTTAAAAAGTAACCAGTTTTACATCCCTAGTCTGCACCAAGTGAGAACTTAATAGGTAGGGCCCCACAGAATTCACGGTCTATTTGGTCAATTTCATGGCCATAGGAATTTCAAAATTGCAAATGTCATTATTTCAGCTATTTAAATCTGAAATTTCATGGAGTTATGGGAGGTTGCAAGGTTATTTTAAAGGGGAGGCTTGCTGTACTACTACTCTTACTATTGCACAGCTGCTGGGAGCAGTGCTGCCTTCAGAGCTGGGTAGCTGGAGAGCAGCAGCTGCTGAAAGCAGAACTTCCGCCAGCAACAGCACAGAAGTTAAGGATGGTATGGTATTGCCATCCTTACCGTGCTGCTGCCTGCAGAGTTAGGCTTTAAGTTAGCAGCTGCCACTCCTTGGTCACCCAGTTCTGAAGACAGCAGTGCAAATAACAGTGTCATGGTATGGTATTGTCACCTTTACTTCTGCGCTGCTGCAGGTGGAGCCCTGCCTTCAGAGTTAAGTGCCTGGCCAACAGGAGCTGATCTCCATCTGCTTAGCTCTGAAAGCAGTGCAAAAGTAAGGGTGGCAATACTGCAACCTCCTAAAATAACTCTGTGATCCCCTTGCAACTCGCTTTTGGGTCAGTTCCCCTACATTGAGAAACACTGGTCTCCCCGTGAAGTATGTATAGGGTAGGGTAAAGATAAAAAAAGACCAGATTTCACAGTCTGTGACACTTTTTCATGGCCATGAATTTAGAAGGGCACTATGGATAGGTCAAAAACTTCATAATTCCTCTTTTCCCCATGTATGTTTTTGTTACAAATTATTCAGGAAATAGGAAAATTAATGCTGAAATATCAATTTAGGTGAAAGACAGATGTAAGAAAAAAAAAGAAAGCCCAAACCACAGCTCAACTTCCTAAAGAAAGTATTTAGAGGATGGCAAGTGAGAGGTGAAGGAGTAAAGGGAAACAAAGTATTGCAATTTTAACTCTATCAGTGACAAGAATTTGTATATTTTAGAGATACAAACTATGCCGTGAGAGTTCTTTTAAGATGTGCAAAATAATCAAATGAAAATAAACTGAATTTTGTGATCAAGAATATGATCTTGCCGATGAAGAGACATTATTTGTCTTGTTCAGGGGTATCCAAACTTTTTTCAAAGAGGGCCAGATTTGATGAAGTGAACATGCGTGAGGGCCGACCATTTTGCCTGACATTCTTTGAACCATTAAAATTAAATGCAAATTAACTATTTTATGCAAAGTTTATTGCAAACGGCATACTTTTCATTTCGTCACATGGATGACAAATCTAAACAGGTGTTAAATCACTCTGCCTTCCATATCTGAAGGCCAGATGAAAAAAAAATCCAGGAAGCTGAAATATATGTCAGGAACATTGTAAAGTACATTACATATTATTGGTAATAAAGGTTGTCTGTCAACTTTTAAGTTAAAAAAATATGAACAGGAACATAACACCAAGTATACATGTTGTGTCCAAATATATTTATAACTGATTTAGACCAACTGACATTAACTGAGATTTTACAATGTATTCATCTCAATACATATGGATTCGTTGGGGGCCATAAAAGATAGATATTGCCAAATTACCTGTGGGGCCGTATTAAACCGTAACACGGGCCGCAATTGGCCCGCGGGCCAGACTTTGGACATGCCTGGTCTAGTTGAAATATATACAAATATTTGAGGGGCCCCATCCTGAGAGATTTCACAGATTAAGAGATTCCAATCACAACTTCCAATTCCCAACAGCCTGAATGGAATTTAAAAAGAGCGCCCAACATTAAGGGTAGGTCTACACTGCACAAAAGAGTGTTCTCAACCCTGTTTTGGTAACCTTAGTTAAAGTAGGATTAAAATAACAGTGAAGACACAGTGGATATGTCTACACTGCTAAAAACAAACAAAAACCTTTGGCAGAAAGTCTCAAAGTTTGGGGTCAATACTATGTGACTAAAAACAGCAGTGTAGATGGTTTTGCTCAGGCTACACTTTGGGCTATGAAACCATGCAAATAGGGTGGGGTTCAGAGTCTGAGTACAAATGTATGCACTGCTATTTTTAAGCCTGCAAGTCCAAATCAGTTTACCCAGGCTCTTCCAATTCGCTGCCTCATGGGCTGTCTACACTGCACCCCTTTTCCGGAAAAGGGATGCAGATGAGACAAGTCGGAATTGCAAATGAAGCAGGGGATTTAAATATCCCCCGCTTCATTTGTATAAACATGGCTGCCGCTTTTTTCCGGCTCGGGGCTTTGCCAGAGAAAAGCGCCAGTTTAGACGGGATCTTGCGGAAAATAAGCCCTTTTCCGGAAGATCCTTATTCTTTTCCGAAAGATCCCCGTCTAGACTGGCGCTTTTTTCCGGCAAAGCCCCGAGCCGGAAAAAAGCGGCAGCCATGTTTATACAAATGAAGTGGGGGATATTTAAATCCCCCGCTTCATTTGCAATTCCGACTTGTCTCATCTGCATCCCTTTTCCGGAAAAAGGGTGCAGTGTAGACACAGCCATGGTGTTTTGGTTTGGGAAGAGGGGCAGGAGGTTGCAGTCTAGGCATACCTAGTAACTCTGCTTTTAACCTGTTACCAATTTGAGTTGAATCCTGGCCTCCCCTACTCTTGCTGCTAATAGAAGTTAACAGCCAACTTGCCCTATCTTCATTACTATTTTAACCCAATTTAGCTAACCCAAGTTAAGAACACTTCTTTTTTTTGCCATGCAGACATGCCTTTAAGATTGAACCCACTTCAAAAATTACCCTAGATTTAGACAAAGCATATCTTTTTTCTTAATTATATTACTTAAAATTTAAAAAGTTAGAATAAAACAATGGTATAAAAAATACACAAGGGCACTTACTGTTTTATTCCGTAATCTAATTATGTCCGATACAGAACCAGCTCCACAATACTCCATAACAATCCATAGATCTGTGTTCTTAAAGTAGCTGCCATAGTACTTGACAACATAGGGACTAAATATAAAAACACAAAACAGTTGAGATTCATATATTAATGAACTGACATTGGAGATCTTTTCAGTGTTGAAGGTCTAATAAAATGAGGATTTGGGACTCACTAGCATAGCCAAAGAACGTGAGCTGCAGTTAAATGAATTTTAGGTCATGACAGATAGACTTTCAGAAGTTTGGTTGCTTAACCAAAATGACAAAGATTCCTATCGAATGACTTACAATGCTACCACACCTGCCAAATAAATGCAAAGACCTTCTTAATAACCAATTGCTTTCTGATGAAGAGGAAGCACTTTCCCCACTCTTGTTTTCTTTGAGAAAAGTCTATTCCCCTTTTCATAGTTTGCTTTCCAACAGTTTTCAGTAGCCTTCTACTTTTTCCAGTGCTGACTGGACAGCATGGAAATTGTTCTAAAATTCCCCTTTTCTTCTACATAACCAACAGGAGTCTATTTCAAAAACAAATCTAAATAGCTACCTAAATATTGTTTAATCTAAACTTCTGCTATAGAAATAACTGTGGAACTGTAAATGAGGTTTCTATATCAAGTTGTTACAGAACACTGTTATTCATATAGTGCCATAAACTGTGCAGTTGGTATTTCCATTCATCAACATAGCAAATAAAGGACATAAATCCACCCTTGAGATAAGGAGCCAAAGGCACAAGGAACTGTGATCCAATATAAATTGGTGCCTCCAATCCAAAAGGGAAGCAAGTAGTCCCTGTAACAGGAATACTTAATGAATGAGAGGTGTTCAGGAACTTCTTAAAGAGGCAAAATTATCATACACTAATAATTGGAGGGCTGCTTTCAAACTGGCACCAGCCACTTCTTGTAATTTGGCAATAAGGCACTTACTCAGGTTTCTGACGCTGGCCTCCTAGTACTGCAGCCTGAGTTTGAGTCTTCCAAAGACTTTTAATTTGTTTTATTTAAGCAGCCTTAAGACCAGGGGTGGACAAAAGAGCCTCCGCAGGCCAGATCCGGCCCACCAAGCGGGTTGATCTGGCCCGCCGAGGCCCTGCTGCTCCTCTACCCCCAGCCCAATTAGGACCTGGGGGTGGAGGAGCATATGAAACTTCCTCTCGCTCTGCGAGAAGCACGCAGCACTTCAAAGTGCTACGCTCTTCTCGCAAGGCAGGAGGAGATGTCACGCGCTCCCCCACCCCCAAACCGTGATTGGCCTGGGAAAGGGACTGCGCAAAGTTTCTTCCACCCTGCGAGGAGCACACAGCACTTCAAAGTGCCATATGGTCATGCAGGGCGGGGGGCAGGATGAAGGAAGCTTCGCTCATCTCCCCCGCCCCCAGATCCAGATTGGCCTGTGGGCAGGGGGGGGAGCACTTTGAAGTGCCACGTGCGCCTCACAGGGTGGGGTAGGGGCGGGAGGAGGCTTCACACTCCCCCCGCCCCCAGGCCAATCAGGCCCTGGGAATGGGGGAGCCGCGCGAAACTTCCTTCGCCCTGCCCAGCCATGTGCTCCTCGCAGGGCGGGAGGAGGCTTCACGTACTCCTCCATCCCCAGGCCAGGGACATGGGTGCCTAGTGGGAAGGGGGTGGCGCAAAGGGGACTCCAACCCCAGACCAATCATGGTTTGGAGGTAGGGTAGCCCAGAGATCAAACTGGCCCTGCCCCTTCCGGGTTAGGCCCTGCCTCTTCTGGGCAGCCTAGGGGCACTTCAAAAATTGTTGAAGTGGCCCCCAGCCCAAAATTAGTGCCCACCCGATTAAGACCCTTTCTCCTTGCCTAGATCACAGAGTTTCTCTAAATTTCTATGCCAATATGTTCTACTGCTAAGCTAACTCAAACCCAATACAAAAGCAAAAGTGCCTACTGATATGCATTAAGAAGCACTACGATCCAACTCCAGCCTGACCACATACCAAACTACTGACAATATGTATTACAAAATTCATTTCAGCCTTCTGAAAGAACACATTACCATTTGAACACTGCCTCTTCCCATTATGTCTCTCTACAAAGGAAAAAGTATTTCCATGGCAAAAATGATGAAGACTTAACAATAAAATATTAATAAGACATAATAAAAGAAGTTATATTATTTCTATTTACAATTTAAACAGTTTAATATTTAAAGCAATATTTCTTTGATATTAAAAACAGGCTTGGCAGCACTTTTTCAGAGGTTGCTTAGATCTGGAGGCCACATTCAAAGTTTGTGCCTACACTGGAGAAAAGAAACAGTTTTAAATATAATCTATGCAGTGTTTTTACACAAAACACACTGTTTCAGTTTAAAGTTTTATCCTGCCTTCATATTTGCTCTCAGGGTGTATAGAAATAGATTATTTAAAGAAAAACAAATAAAAATAAATAATTTTTTTTATTTAAATTCATTTTTTTTTTAAATATACCTATTTAAAATTAAATGTGAAGCTATGACATGTCAAGACCTAAATTTACTGTAATTTGTTAAAATCATTTAAATAAAACTAAAACATTTCATATTAAGCAGTATATACTTGTTGACAAACTTTTAAAGTAAGTTAAACCATTTAAGTTGTAGAAGTTATTGACAAAGCATCTTTTGACAGCAGTAGCCTCTTCTGCATATACAGAGAGAATATTTTCTTCATTTGTGTTATTCAGCTAGTTCAGTTCAATTATTAATTAATGCAGAGTTAAGACAGTTATGGCAATTTCCTGCAATATACTTAAAAGATCTTACTGTATTAAGTTTATGTATTATTGTGAGCTGGGACAGAATATAACCTCTTTGAAGAGGGCCAGGGAGATATGTGGCAAATATTGTAAACCAATGCAATATTCTTGGAGTCCTCTGTTTTAAGTTAATTATATATGTATGACTGTGTGCTGCACCATGATGGAGGGCTACTTAATTCCAGGAATTAAGAACAGTGGGTGGTGATTAAGATGAACCAGTCAGGCTGCAGCCCTCACCCCTGAAAGATACCATCTCCTGGAAAGGCTCACCCATATTAAATGGATTCTCCAGAGACCAATAGACAAAGAAAGGACTTTTGAATGAATAGTCTGACACAAGTCCTTTTTTTCTGACCAAGCAAATGGTCAAGGATATTGTGTCCATGGAGGGTTCCCAATTCTTTCGCAAGGGTCGGAAGGACACGACCTTCTAAGGCCACATAAGATTGATGATTGACCTCTGGTAAGCTTTTTAGTAAGAATATAGTTCTTTTGATCTGTGTGGTAACTTATAACTGGGCATGGCCTTCAGAGAGAAAAAACGCACAGATGCTGGACTGTCTAGCAGAGTGGTTCCCAACCTTTTTGAGCGTATGGACCCCTTTTCAATGTATTAACATTTCATGGACCCCCTGAGGGAGAAAAAAAAGGAAAAGAAAAGTAAGGAAAGAAAAAGAAAAGTAAAGATCAGGTCCACGGTGGTAGGCATGATTCCGATTTTTAAAATTTCCAGACACCCTACAGTACTGTCACAGACCACCAGGGGTCAGTGGACCACAGGTTGGGAACCACCGGACATGCTGGGGTTATCACACTGTCCACAGGCAACTGTGCAGCCTGGAAAACCCACATAGAAAGAAGAGAGATGCACCTCTTCACCTAAGAGAGTTGATAGCTGAAGACCTAGAAGACTAGAGTGGGCGCCCTTGATTGACCAGGATGAGGGGGATACAAATATGCAGTTGCCCTGAACCATTACACCACCTATCAGGAGCTGAAAAAACAGGAACGCCTGTTCTCCTCTTCTACTCTATGAATAAAAACTAGTGAGAGAGGATGAGATTTACTATTTCTCAACTCTGGAAGGACATGGTAATCAGAAACAATCCGTTCAAATCACTAACTTAGATAATGCTTCCTTTGTTTAATAAATGTTAGCTTTAAAATGCAAAATAAACTTTAGGGATTTTTTCCTATGTATCCAGCACATTTAAGGTAATTTTAACTAATGTTTTGAAAATGCTGTTTTGTATATTTTTAATCAAACTACAATTTGCATCCAAACAGAGCTTGACACAAATCACAAATAAAAGAATAATCTAACAAATGAGATATAATATCATTCTCCATTTTCTACAATAAAGTAAATATTATAAATCTGAATAAACTTATGTCAAAACACATAATTACTTAAATAAATGTGAATATAGTGGATGCTTCTCGACAGCAAAAAGAAGCATCGAATTTAGTGTAAAGATTACAGTCACTTGCAAATCAACATGTTTTAATGGTTTCCAACCACAGAGAATCAATATATCTTTAGACAAATACTGAGAAGTGCAAATACAAAAACAAGTCAAATCTATTATTTTAATAAAAAATAATTAAATTAATTCTTAGGTTTCCTGTTTGCTGATTTTAAAATCATGATTAAAATTTGTGATTTAAACAATCCATCCTACCTATTCTGTGCTGTCCCCAATTGCATCTATACTGCCTCCTATATACCTTATTTCACAATTTCCAGCACAGCTCCCTAAGAAGAGCATACTGGGAAATCTTTTAAAAAGTCTTCCAGAAAAAGACCAAGCTTCCATGATGTCCTGGGAAATCTCCCATTTTGGGTTTATGTTTTGGGTGGGTAGGTGGATGAGTAGGTGGAGGAGGGGTAGTAAGAAGAATTCCAATAACCCTTCAGGGTCCAGAATCATTTAATAGTTTCCATTTCTCAAATTCAGACTATGACAAATACTATGTGAAGTGTCAAATGTAAAGCAATAGATACTGGATGCTTCAGATGTACCTGCTAAGAGCAAGAAAGCGATATTAATAGACAAGAGATTTTGCTACATCAATCATTGAGAACCTAGTTGTACACAAATTTCTGTAGATGGAACACCTCACCAAATTCATGGTACTTTGGCCTGGTGTACACTAGGAACTTACATCAGTATAGATATATCTCTTGGAGCGGGGTGAAATACGACATGTGTGTTTAAAGATCGACAGATTTTGGCCCTACTTTTGCAAAATGAGGCCCTTATACCACCAACTTAAAGAAGACTTCTCATATGCATAAGGGTTCACCATCATGGATCACATTGCAGGAGCAAGATAATTATCTTTCTTAAAAAACACCCCATACACACAGAGGACAAAACAATTTAAATGCAAGTAGCACTTGTAACGCTAACTTTCATTTTTACTTCCTTATAAATTAAGGTCCTGTTCCTGCAGCCTTACTCAGAAAACTGCCACCACAATCAGAGGATAAGTTGTCCAAAAGAGGCTGTAGGATAACAGCATTTCCCTCACTCCTGCCCCCAGAGTAATCATTGCTGCAGAAATGCCAATTGTATAATAAAGACTGCTCTTCCAAGTACAAGATATTCATCTTTCCCCTTTCTTTTTTTTTTAAATTAACAGTTATTAGTCTTAGCCTACCACATTTCTTACCAATGCTCTGAAGTGGAGGACTCAAAATTCACATGTATTTATCTGGTCATAGTAAATATTAACAGTACACCATTTTTTTTTTTTTTTAAATCTTGCTTTAATTATAATCATGTCAAGTTATTTTGGTTGGATGGTGCTTGTAAACAGGTACGTATCCAAAAATGTACTTTATTCTTCTCAGAATAACATTTATTAAGTGAATTGTTCATATTAATTTGAAAATATATTAATAACTTTCAGTGATTTATATTAAGTACATTTCACTATAAGCTCAGGTAAAAATGTTACCATCAGCGAGCAATAAGCAGTGGTCATTAAAATTACAATTCAGTGCCAGGTTTAAATAGGCTTCTTCTAATCTTCAGTTACGCCCTTGTCATATTACAAGTACATTTTAAAATAAACATATAAAAAAAGAGGCAAAGAATTAAATAAATACATAAATAAATATTGTTCATACCTGTCACACTGCTGCATTATAGAAATTTCTTTAATTATTTCCTGAAGATCTGACTCAACAGGGACTTGTTTAATTGCCACTACTTGTCCAGATTCCTTGTGTATTGCTTTAAACACGCTACCATAAGATCTAAAAATAACAAAGAATTACAAATTGAAGTGAAGTGTTCTAAAAATGTTTCTTTTCTTCCTCCCAATCAGCACTATTCCAAAGATTATACCAAACCAGTGTTCCCTCTAATTTTTTCCATCAACGTGTGGAATAAATTTTGTTATGCATACCACTGCATATGCGGTTGTGCACTACCAGTAGAAACACATGCTGCTGGCTTTTGGCACTCTGCCAATCAGCTGGCTGGTATTTGAATCTCTCCTGGGTGACCGCTCAAGCACTCATCTTACAGGGAACACTGATGCCAACCACTGTATTCATTTAAAATACTTTTTTTTTTAAATCAGATGCTTATAAATTACAAGGGATTTCAATTTCACCATGACTGTGCATCTGAAAAAGAAGTCCATCCTTGCCAGAGGATGTCATGAAGACTTGGAATTTAAAACGGTTCAAAAAAAGAGCTAGATAAATTCATGGAGGTTAAGTCCATCAATGGCTATTAGCCAGGATGGGTAGGAATGGCGTGCTTAGCCTCTGTTTTGTCTGGAAATGGATGACAGAAGAGGGATCACATGATAACTACCTGTTGTGTTCACTCCCTCTGGGGCATCTGTCCCTCTTATATACTCCATAATTGTGAACCAAGAGAGGGGAAAATGGACAAGATTAATCTTTTATCCATTTCAGTCCCTCATCGTCAGCTTTATAGTTGACTACTTTGGCCAACAATATGACTTTTCTATAGTCACAATGCCAGATGATTCAATAACTGTCTACAGAATTTAGGCTTATTGCAGGCTACACCACTTGTCACATAAAGCAGCCCCTGTTCAATTTACAAAGCCTGCAGCACTCCTACATTCTCATGGTCGTGAGTAGGCTTGTACTCTTCCCAACAGCATAAACACCTGAACAGCTACCACTTTCCTTGGGAA